TTAAAAACAACAACAACAACAACACAACACAAAACAGTGTTCTCACAATGCCTGAGATATCTTTCCTTTCCAAACTAATTTTGGAACAAAATCCTCTTATTTTCCCTCCGCATTATCAGAGATAACTCGGAGAAACTTTGGGTACTTAAGTAATATTGATCTTTCTTTTAATCTGGCATAACTAAAAAGGGAGTGTTTTGTCTTCTCTGTAGGTCAACATTTAGTTACTACATAGGTGCCATACCACTAATATACTTACATGGTCTGAACATACAGGAGGCCAATATCTGGACACAGAGACACAGGGTTAAATTCAACACTGTTCCCAGTGACCAGGTGAATGGTCTTAGGCAACGTACATTATTCTGGGCCTCAGTTTTCTCATGGGTAAAATAGGAATAATAATATCAGCTTCATTGGGGTTAACAGAAATAAACGAGATAACAGATTTAAAGTTCCTAGGAAACTATCTGGCACAAAATAGGTTCTTAATAAAGGTAGGCTTTTAAAATCATATTTTCCTGTATTTTAAAACATACGTTGGCGTAAGATGGCTGGTTGCCTACCTTTCTTTCTTAGTAAAGACACTTATTCTGGATGGCAAAGTGCCCAGCTGAAAGATAGTTTTTCAGCTTTCCCTGTAGCTGTAAAGGCAGAGATACATGAGCACAAGTTTTTTTATGGGCCTTATGGAAAAGTGATTCAATAAAGGAAAGAAACATGGCATGGGCTTGTTTTATCCTCTCCCTGTTCCTCCCACTTCCTGGCTGGAACCGGGTTTTGAGAGCTGCACTCCAGCAGCCTTACTGGGCTGAGGAGTAGCCTTGAGGATGGAAGCCCAGTGCTCTGGATGATGGAGCAGGGAGCAAATGGTGCTGGATCTCTGATGAATGATGCCATGGAACTGTCACACCTGCTCTGAACCGCACATGTCGCACTCCTTTTATATGAAGAGTCATTTAGGCCATTGCTATTTTCTGTCCTCATTACTACCAGCCAATGCACTTTCTAATCGACACACATTATATCACATTTAGACAATTCTGACATTGGGAGATAGCTTCTAATATAGTTTTAAAAATAATTTTATCAAGAAAAGCAATAATACATCTAACTATTAATGGTATCTTAAAATTCAATATAAAACAGAATATTACTTTTCAAAGTTAAGTAGGATTTAAAAAATTTATTTACTAACTAGAATTAGGAAAAGGACATAGCTTTGCAATGTAATCCCCCTGTAGTGTTATAGTCTTGCCTCTTTTGAGGAAACATGGAGTACGTATGATATAAACAGTAGGTCCCGAAGAAAAGTTTGTTAAATTAACTTAACAGTGACCTTCTAATTTGTGAAATATATTTTCAAGATTTTATGATTAATCAGTTTCTAATAGTTTTTATTTTACTTGTTAGTACAGTTAAAATATTTATGACAATTATTTTTACAGAAAAAATTTACTATAGGCTTTCTCTATTTCTACTTTTTAAAAATGTAAATAATGGAGGATAGGTACTGAACATATGGGTTGACAGTGCAGTAGCTGGCAAACATGCTGACTCTGATACTAAGAGGGACCACACAATTCAAGACATATGGGCTTTCACGTGACACACAGAAAATAAAATACTAAAAAATAACAAGTGCTAGTACAAAATAGAGAAAAGAATAAAATGTCATTTCCTCTTCCTGCTAAGATGACAACCTCTCACCATGGCAATTTGTACTAGACTCTGATGCCAGTGATTTATGTCACAGCCTAAAGGAAGTACCAAGTTATCTTGATCTGCTACCAAGAAAATTAATTTATGAGTCTTCCCTTTTGAACTTCATTCAGATTCAGGTTCAGAGCCAACTGATGCTGCCTCACACACCTGAGTCCTAGCCCTGTGCTTCCACACAGCGCCTGGCTCCCACCCACAGCCCCTCTGCGGGGTGACTCCTACTCTCTACCCAGTGCTGGGGTGGGGGAGCCCTCCGCCCTGCTGAGAGATGGTTGAACTGGGACTCAAGTTCCTCAGAAGCCCAGTCTACAGGTATTTTCACTCTCCATAGCTTCCTAAATGACTTGACTGTATTTTCACACTTCGACAGGTCACATGTCCCTCAGATATAAACCTTAAAAGCCTTTAATGGTTTAACCCACATACACAGACAGATCATAAGGGAATCCTGCCTTGAGAATCTCCTGAATAATCTGGCAACCCATTGGAGGGCTCTTTGCATTCACACGAATACATTTTCCCAAATAATAACAATTCCCTGGAAAAGTCATTCATCTTATGTAATGTTTTCACTAGTATGCAAAAGTGACTGACCCTTCAAAAAGGTCGTTTTCAAAATGTTCTGAGAGCAATTCATCATTCATATCAATTGCAGCTTTATACACTTACCTATGATACTTAATTGGTTATGCTGTTTGAGATGCAAGATCTGAATATTAAATCAGGATATCTTAAAAGCAACTCAGAACCATTCAGAGAGTGTAATGCAAGCCCCTCCTCCCCCAATTCTTATTTCTAAGAAGACTCAATGCCTTGAAACCTAAGCAGTGAGCCAGTCATGTTTGACATTTGTGCACATTCTCTCCCACTTTTCTCGTGCGCTGATTTGCTCGGTCTGGTGAAGCACTACTGCGGCATGGAAGCTACAGCATGCCCCTGGCAGGGAAAGAAGTGAGCCCTGCCTGGAGCCCTGCGAGATAAGCAGAGCAGTGAATATACATGTGTTCTACCAAGTGGGATTCATAGCAGCCTTCCCCAAAGATACAAAGACAAAACCAAAACCATGCATACAAATATCAAAAACAGAACAAAAACCAGCGAGGAAAAGGTGCCACGCTCCACTTCATCAAATAATGCCCTAGAAGCCTGGTCTGAAGGGTATTTAGCATGTATGCAAGCCTCACAATGTTTGAAGAGAAAAGTGAGATTGTAAACAGCGCCAGGGTGCCCAGCAATTCCAGAACGCATGCTGGAGAGTGCGGTGAAATTTCTCACTTTCAGAGACATGGCCACACCATCCCAGACTGATGGATATTTATGAACTCCAGAAGGAAATTTCTAGTTGAAAAATCTCTTTCACTCAGTATCAGACATGCCAAACTCCTTCCAGCTGCATAAAATAAGCTGTGTTTCCTTAAACAGCTTCTCATTGCCCCTTCATTCCTTCATGCTTCCTCTCCTGTAGCCCCATGCGTCTGCTGCCCCCAACCCTGCCTGCCTCTTCAAATTCCCAGTGTCTAGGTTTCCAGCTCTGGTGCTTAGAGTCTACCTTCTGCAAAGTAGCATTAGTTACACTCTTGCCTCTTTTATTAGAGTGAAATTCTCTAATTTCTTGAGGTCAGGAACTGTATTATATGTTTCCATATCCTCCACACTGCTTTGAGCACAGTATGTTTATTAAGTCCCTTTTTATGGTTTGCTCTCTCTTTACTTTAGCTAAGTGTATTTATTCATTTATTCCTTCATTAAACATCTGTTGAGTGCCCACTGGGAGCTGGGGAAGTTGCCATCCACATTTTCTGATCAAGTCCCAGTTTCCCAGCCATTACTTTCTACGGCTGGCAGCAGCTTAGATGCCCCCTGTACACATAGTTACAGTAAGATAGTACATTATCATCAAGGCTTGAAATAGAGAGAAAACTCTTCATATTCTTTGGACCTTAACCACATGGTCCCATATGAATCTGCTCACTATTCTAGGCTGGGTATGGGGATAGGGTGAAAGAGAATAGAAAAATGAAAAGAGAAAATCATGATGCTTGTGCATGAAGATGGATCTATAAGGATGCTCATTTGGGTGTTATTAGCATCAGAACAAAAAAGTTAGAAATGTTCTAGTTAGGTAACTCATGCTGTAGACAAATATCCACAGATGAGAGGAAATGTGTTAAAAACATGGGTTACAGAATAGTTGATATTTACAATAGGTTGCTATTTTTATTTTTAAAAATCCACCTGGGAGGACATCTAGAAGAATAAACTTCAATGTATTAATGGTGAGTATACCCAAGGGATGGGATTATAAACCATTTTCTTCTTTGAGTGTATATGCATTTTCTAATGTCTCTAAAATCATACTGGATAACTTTTGAGTTAAGAAAAAAAACAATTAAATTTTCTAAGGGAAAAGGAGACCAGAACGAGAATCCTCCCAGAATAGAAGAGGCTTCGGATAAAATTCACCCTCGCCCTCAGTGCTCAGGTCTTCATGCGTTTATAAAGCCCACTGTACAGGCTGCTCTCCTGCTGGACTCATAAAGAAAGACAGCAGTGCATGTGCATTCTGATCCATTTGTTTCTTCAAATATATATATGTAGATGAACAAACAGGTACGTATCACATATCCGCTCCCCCCCCCCCAAAAGCACTGCTTTGTCAAACAAGTCACAAACTGCTACAAATTCTAGTTGTTATGTAAGTTAAACCAAATTCTAAAAAAACAAACAAACAGATAATCACATACAGAAGTAAAGCCCTTCCCCAAAGACTACATTAAAAAAAAAATCTGGCTCAGCTACCCAGGAACCAAGAGGTAGCTGGTTTGGTTCCCCGTCAGTGCACATGCCCGGGTTGCGGGCTCTGTCGCCAGTAGGGGTGCGTGCAGGAGGCAACCAATCAATGATGTTCCCCTCTCATAATTGATGCTTCTATTTCTCTAGCCCTCTCCCTTCCTCTTTCTCTAAAAATCAATAAAATATTAAAAAACCTAGATCTGGCTGGTATTGCTCAGTGGATAGAGTGTGAGCCCTTGCACCAAAGGGTCATGGGTTTGATTCTCAGTCAAATCAATGGAAAAATATTCTCAGGTGAGGATTAACAACAACAATAAAAAAAATCTAAGTAACATTTAGAGGGGAACAAATTTGTTTGGATGGATGGAAGGTGGACTGACAGGTAACAAGGAAAAGAATGGAGATGTACCACCAGGGCACCGTGTGGGCACAGGCAGATTTCCTACAGACAGGTGGACAAACGGTTGTTTGCACAGAAGCCATACCTTAGTCTGGAACGTACAGAACATGTGCGTTAGGAATGGATGCTCCCAGGCCAAGGAGAGAACTCTCTTCTCTACCATTGTACACTCAACATCGTCATCCATCAAAACCACGTCTTTCTTTAGGGCTTTGATTGCAAAAAATTGATTGGTGTTCTTGAACTCTGCTAGAAAGACCTAGAAGGAAGAGGTAACTTTATTTTAGAATTTGTAGTAACACTCACGAAGGGACAAGACTGAGAGATGCGTGCTGGGTGAGGAAGAAGGCTTCCTTCTCCAACCCCGTGGTCCTTTTTTGCAGACACAATAGAGCATTTCACTGGTTTAGGGTATTACCTAACAGTTTCATATGCTCTTATTTGCCTTTCAAAGGGTTTAAAAAAAAAAAAAAAACTTCCTGTGCAACTGGATGGGTTATTCTCAGTCCCTGAAAAATTCTATTTAAAAAAGTATGCCTTGTCTGCCCAGGGACCTGAGCAGTTTATAATTAAAAACTACACAGACAAATGGGAAGCAGCAGCAAGTATTAAAGAGGCAGACCTGATGGTACTAGAAACATTACTGCAAATGAGCATAAAACTTCTCCAAGTTTTACCCAGTTTTTCAAGGCAAAAGAGAATCCATGAGGAGTAGAGCTCTCCTTGCGCGCTCAGAGAAGGCACATCATGTTATCTGATGGCACAGACACCAAACCCATTTTCAGGACCTACTGTGTGTCAGGCATTCTGCTTTGTGCTTTCCATGTGCTTTCTCATTTTATAATCTTTTAATTCTTAGCTGAGAACACTCTGCAAGACAGATAAGAATAAAAAAAACAAAACAAAACAACAACAAAAAAAACAGCCTCCCCCAAACAAAAACAAAAACAAAAACGAGGTTCAAAAAGTAACTAAGTCTCTCAAATTCATGGAGCCACTCAGTGGAAAATGTAATTCCAGAGTTTACTTTTTCCACTTGATTTCGTGAATTGCACATGAAAAGACACCAGATGGCACCTAATGGAGAGCTTCAACACCTCTCGCCTTTGCAAATGATGCAGCAACAGATAACTAGCAGTTGCTAGGACATGGCATTTGGAGACAGAAAATTCCAGCTCAAGTCTAATTTCACAGACATTTACTAGCTGTGGGAATGTGGGCACGCCTGTTAACCTCTCTGGGCTTTAGTTTCCTAATGTGTAAAGAGAGAACTGTCACCATATTCTCTAACTTTAGGACCACTGTGAAAATCAAATGAGATACCACATGGGAAAGTGATGTGTGAACTATAAAATCCTCTCTAAATGACAGATACTAAGAATACATGTCATTTGTTTCTTATAATGACTTTTAGGGAGTGTTGAAGTCAATGATGCTAAACCAGTAGGAAAAATGCATTGTGTCTACGTTTAAAATACTATAGTGCAGCACATAACTATGGGATAGCTGGCTTGATAGAGGGGAAAGAGCGTAGAAGATAAATCAGGCAAATGAGTAATGTGTAAAACCCTAGAAAACATGCAATTTGTTCTTCTGGGCCTAAAAGTAGATACAGACCAAGGATATAGAGGCTACCATTTTGGTGAGGAATCATTCTTCCTATGAGAGCACAAAGAAAGAAGAACGAGTTTTGGAGTATTCCCTGTGATGCTCTGTGCTTCGTCCTCCTCTCCACAGGGGGGCCTGCAGTGCAGTCCTCACAGATGTAGGGACCCCCGGTGCTGGGGCAGGGCACAGAGCAGACAGTACTTGAAGCTCTCACCTGTCCCTTGGGATATTACCTAAGGTTTGTAGGTTCAACTTAATGCCTTTTTTTATTATTATTATTATTATTATTTTTTTTTATGAACCATGTTCAAGCGAAGCAATTCATACAGGAATAAGGAAAGATAAACATTTCATTAACAATTAAAATTACCTTCTTAGTAATTGCTTCTTTCAATAAAACAGTCCAAAACCAGCCATAAAGCAAGAAGCTGGAAAGGTAACAGGTTATGATTACACATTAATTGATGCTAAATTACAGTGAGGACTGGCTGTAAAATTGCCTATTACACTCAGATTAACATCAAATGGGCCTGCTGAGGTTCATATGATTGTGGAAATGAACTAAAAAATTAATGGATATCAGTTATAGATTTCAGGGCAGAGTAGATTTTTGCCAAAGGCGAGGCACTGCTGTTTAAATCCAAACCCCAATCGCAGCACAATCATTCAGCTGGGATAACAAATCAGTTTCATTTCAATTTGTTTATCATTAAATAAACTGGGTAAGTCTTCCAGCCAAAGTCTGGAGCAGGTGCTTAGCATAATGCTGGCTTTGGATGTATAAATTTATGGAACAGTAGTCTGTGGCTAAAATGTTCATGGGCACCGAATCTAAGATTATAAAGCAGCTAATACATTAGGTATTCTTAATATTGCAAAGAATCCCAAATTCTATATTCCATGTCATCCCTCTTTATAATCACTGGTTTGTAAATATTCTCACATCACCGATAATAAATTGTAATTTTTAAAATTATGTCTTCTTCCTCTCCTTGTCCCCTCTGACTGGCAGAGACAACCCACAACTCCAGTGTGTGGCAGGAGGAGTTCAGAGGAGGCATTTTCTCCATGAAGCTCTTCCCAGGACTCTCAAGCTACAGCTGTGTTATGGGCTGAATTGTGATTGTATCTCTTCAAAAAATCAATATATTGAATCCTAACCCCCATGACCTCAGAGTGTCCCTGTGGAGGTCATTACAGAGGTGGACCCTAATCCAAAGTTACTGCTGTCCTTATAAGAAAAGGGATTAGGACACAGACATGCACAGAGAAACAACCCTGAGAGGACACAAGGAGAAAAGGCATCTACAAGCCAAGGAGAGAGGCCTTAGGAGAAACAACCCTGTCGACACCTTCATCTGAGATTGCCAGCACTGCGAAAATTGTTGAAGTGGCCAGTCTGTGGCATTTTGTTACAGTAGCCCTAGTCAGCTAATATAAGGCTGAGGATATTTGATAGAAAAAACAAACCACATAAGAAGTAAAACCACTTGAGCAAACAACAACAAAAAACAACAAACAAACAAACAAACAAACAAAAACCCAGTGTGAAATAGGAACTGGCTGAGGCACCTCCTTATTTCTAAGGTGTCCAGAGATGACAAATTCGTAAGCTGGGGATGTCCACCTTCAAAGCAAAATGGCTTGGATACACCCAAGGAGGCAAAGGCTGATTTCATTGGAGGCCCTAGACCCCCATTTGTTCCAACATCTCTACCTGTCACAGAATGCTCAGGAATGCACTCTCTGCATACCCACTCATAGTTCTGACCCCAAGAGCTTAGTTCTTCTAACCAGGACCTTTACTCTTTGATTTTTGGGCATTAGTCTGTGGGATTCTGTGGTATGATACCATACCTTGCCAAAACTTCCTTTCCCCAACATTTTGTGCAAGACAAAATCCTCGATTTTTAACTTCATATGTAGAGATGGTCTTTCTACGTTCGGCTCAGGTTCTGGATGATGGCTCATTTTCTCCATCTCATCCAAGGGAGACTCCCAGGAGATTCCCTGAGGCTCTAAGAATGGCAACCAGTGGTTAAAAGGAAACAAAGAACATTAAAGCGTTATTCTAGCTACTTGGAGAACACACATTCTTTTCCAGTTTCCCATTCTAGGATCCACCTGCCATAATGCTGAAAGGGGTTCTTGCTGTGCCTGGTGGCACCTCCTGCCTGTGAGCCTGGCACTGGGGCATGAACTGCGTCTGTTTATCCAAGAGATTGGGAAATTTTTCAAGTTGAGAAACATTTCAATCAGCAAAAGGCCATTTATGCAATCCAAACGAGCACTTTTAGTAAATGTCAAATCATGGACAAATAGAGAGATCTTAACCAAATGCAAGGAAAAATGGTTCTCAATTGCTTTGTGGCTCACAAGAACAGTGGCATCAGTTTCTATGACTTACCAGGGGAGGGCAGAGAAAATGGATAGCAGACTGAATTGCATCATTTGTCACAGTCTTCAAGTCAACACGCCACCTCTTTTGATCATCTCTAAGGCCTGGCTTACTTCTCTGCCTGGACACTCATCCCCACTCTGATCCAAACTTTCTTTTAAAAAATTTTAAGTCGATTTATTCCTTACCCCATGCCAGAGGAGGTGTAGAAAAACATTTTTGGAATCTTTCCTCCTCTCCCAAATATAATTCTTATTTTCTTTTTTATTGAAAATATTTGATATCTCACATTGTGTTAAGATGTACAATATGTTGATTTGATACATTTTCGTATTGTGATACTATTGCTATTATAGTGGTAGTACCACTAGCACATCACATAATTATCATTTCTTTGCTTGTGGTTGGAATAATGACATTAATTTTTTAATCTATAAGTTTATCTTCCATATTCTCCCTAAATCCAGGGAAAGTAAGTATTTTGTAATGTATGTTGAAACTATTCAGGTTCAGAGTCAGGTGGTCATATGCTCACATGATTGATCTTCAAACAGAAGGCTGGATACACTTCTGTCATGTCATAAATGTGAAGGACTTTGGGCACCGCTATTCTCCTTTCTTCTCTTCAACATCACAGAATAGTCTGTGAAGGTGCAGAATAAGATGGTCTTCTGTGGTATCCCCACCACTGAGCTTTACGGTGGATCTATTTCTATAAAACCATTTAACAGTGATAGGAAGTAACTGACATTCTAAAATTCTAAGGAAAAACTTACAGTTGTTTTCTCCAGACTTACTCCATTTTCTCCCTCCTTCCCCCAAGCCTCCCACTGTCTTAAAAGAGTTTCCTAATGGGGCATGTTTTAGTTTCACTTCTAAGAAGTAGGAGCATCTTAGTTGTTGGCTATGTCTGTAATATTGAGATAGAAAAGAATCATCTATCAGACCAGGTACATGGACCATTTATATAAAGAGGACTCAGGTTAAGGTTAATCGAGATAAATTACTGACATTGATTCTGTGGGGATCAAGATAGCTACCTCGTTTCCCTGATGCCAGTACATAGGGCAGCCTTGCTTCATCTTTTATGGAGCTTGGGGGACCAATTTCAACTGGACCTTCTCTGTAGATGTGTTCAGTATCTCTTAAGCAGCGAGCCTAGATTACAAACAAAGAGTTAAACCACACATCACTGACAGACAGCTCAGCCTGTCCTTGGGACAAAAGCCATTTAGATTCCTAAAAGCATAAGGTAATTAAAGCTCTTTCCCTAAGCACTCTTTTTTGGATTCTTTATCCTGTGCGAGTCTACTGGATTTTATGCAGCAGCAGAGCATATTCACTTCCTTCATAGTTTTCTGGACCTAATTAATTGGTTTCTCTCGTGCTATCCAATCGAAGGGCAAGGGGTAGAAAAACAGCATTGCCAAGTCCTAAGGAGGTTTTGTTCTTGATATGCAAATTAAGCATGCTAGTATATGGCAAGGCAAAAGTTGCCCTGGACTAGGGTTTCTGAGGGCATTCTAGGGTTGATTCTAGCATATCAGCGTTTTGCCTCAGGCTATTAATCAACCCTAATGGGTATAAAGCTGGCAATGAATCCTCAATAATTTTAATGAGTTTGTTTCTGTCCTTGCTCATTCTACACATTTAAGATCTTACAAATGCATTACATAAATATCTCAAAGGGGGTGGGGGTATGGGCATGAAGATGAAAGGGGAGAAACAAGTGCTCAGAAATAGATGCCATGTTGTCCCACACAGTTGCTAAAGATCAATGAGCAAAGGGGCTGGAGTAGTCCCTGCTGAGTTGAAACTGCAGGAACTTGTCACATACCTGTTGGGTGCTCTCAATCATTGCCAGTGCTTCGGCCATTAGCTTCTGGTTTATGCCACAGAGGTTGGCCACCTTTGTCTGGCATCGGTGATGCACATTCATGCCACATGCTAGAGGGGGACAGTGACACATGAGCCAGAGCAACAGAACCAACGGCCATGACCTTTGCACATGACCTTCTTTGGGTACAACCTATGGTGAAGGAACAACTGGCAACCCCCATGCAGTCTTCACAGCAGGAGACACTGAATACAAATACATTTGGACAGTGCTTTTATGATGCCACTGGGCTCCCCTTACTGAAACAGACACACACAGACCAGATGCTCCTGTGTGATTCTGGGAAGTGAGCCCCGCTAAAGATGGGAGAGCTGTGTTGATAGGGGCAGTGGTCTGCTATCCGTATGCATTTAGACTGTGCCATTGCTGAGAGAAAAAGATTGACGTTGGCTCTCACTGGTGGAAATGTGCAATGCTGGAGTTGAAGTTTGTTCATGCGAACCCTACACCCTCTCCCTACACCAGGGCCCAAGCCTCCCTTTTCCCACACAGGCTGCAAAGGGCTTCTCTGCCCACCAGGGTTCAGCCCAGTCTGCAGGGCTGAAATGGAGATGGTGGCGGGTGGTCTGTGTGTGGGCTTAGGACTGGGGATGGGAGGAGGGAAAGTGGCTGAGACCACTTTCCCAGCATATGGGAAATGGCTGAGCTAAACCATTTACATAGGCTTCTAGCTCTTAAAGCCACGATTCTGCAGGAGTTTTTTTTTTTGATGAATAGTCCTAGAAACAGCCTAATAAAGGTCTGCCTACACTTTCTGTGGTCATGTGAGCCTCCTTGGTTTGGGGGATGTGCATGCCTGTGTGTCTTTGCGAAGACAACTATTATCTCGTGTCATTAGTTTTAGAAAATTAAAATTCTGCTTGTGAAACATCACTGCTGCAATGAAAAAAAAAAATTCACAAAGGTTTCCAAATCCCAGCTAAAAGAACTCTGATCTCAAGTCCAACTGAATTCTATAACAATATATTAATAGACATTGTTAAAATGGAATTAGGCAGGAGGAGCTAAAAAAAAAAAACAAAACAAAAACCTAATTTTAATCTTATCTGCTTATTATTAGCCCATTTGGGTGCACACCCCCACCCACCACAAACGGCACTGTGATTGGCATCAAATAGGCGCTCATTAGATATAACTTTTCTTTCACCTTCATTGTATATTACAATGAAATATATATAGAAATATTTAGTTGAAATTTTAGCCACCTTCATCTTTAGTTTTAACTAGCCTCCTCTTCCTCAGATAGTTCATAATAAAACAGCATTTATTATGATGTGAGTATAAAGCTACCCCGGTATAAATGAGTAGATCTAGTCATAAAATCCACTTGAAGTGGAATGTTTACTAAAGATGCTGTTTGCAAAGCCTGGATGCCCTTCTGAATTCTGCATCCTTAGTACAGGGAGGCAGGCAACGCGGATTTAGCACCAGGGGTTGGGAGTTTTCCTTTGCTCCTTAAAATTGTGGCTAGATCTAAGCTTGTCTCTGATGTGCGGTTGTAAAGAAAGGCCTCATTCCCACTATGACAATGCCATAAATCTTTGTTACTAACCTCGTAGGTGAGGAGTCCATCTCTGTGAGTGCAAATAGTCCCTTTTGATGGCTATTTTCATGGGAAGTGTAGCGGAGCAAGAAAGCAGACAGGCCAGGGTGAAGGGAGGCCCTACTTAGGAAGGTGGCTTATGAGAAAGCAAGATAAAGAGTGTGTGCAGCAAAGGACCAGGGAAAAAGGGATGTAGGGAAGAGGGTGGGAGGTGACAAAGAGGATGACATGAGGAGGTGAGGAACTTTGGGGTGTTGGTAGCAAGAATAGGGGACACATATGGGGGAGGAGAGGGAAAGGAGATATTGGGAGAGGAGAGGGGACCAGAGAAAGGAGGGAGGAGGCTGCTTGAAGTGCAGGAGATGGGAGAGTGAGGAAGAGAGTGGAATGGAAGAGAAAGAACGTTAGAAAAGGATAGAACAAAGCAGGCGTGTGAGCCGTGAAATAATGCCAAGAATCCTCGTGGGAGTTCTAAGCTCAGAGCATAACCACCCTGCCTGGCCTGGGTGGGGGTGGGGGATGCCAGGCTCCAGGGAGAGAAAATGTCAACTGTGATACCCACATGAGAACAGGAAGACTTCGGATGGGGCTGTGATGGTTCCTGTGCTGTGTGTACAATTAGGGCAACCAATTACTTCTTGCCTGTGAGCTTGTGACGGTATTTCGTACAGTGCCAGGCCCTCCCAGGCCTCTTGGACAGGCACGGAGAAAAGAGTGTGTCACAGCACTTGTGGGCTGTGGAGGGACTGTTCAGGTGAATTTTGACTATAAACTGGTCTTGCCTTCGGTAATGATTTAAAAACCCAGCCCCTCCTGCCTCCCTTTAAAATGTCACTGCAGGCTCCCCAGACACGTGAACACAACTGTGATGAGGAAGGGGGAACGCTGCTGACGGTGATCTTTCACCTCAAGTCCGCCCCTCTGTCGCTTAAGAGATAAGACAGGCATTGGTTAGTGACATAAAAGTTGGGCTGCTCAGAACAGTGGCTTCTCTATTTAATAATTCAGAGCAGAAAGGTCCCTGCTGCAGCCTGAGCCCTCCTTTTTGAATACCTGGGCCCCATCCCCGCTCTCACCCCCACTCCAAAGGAAGAAGTGCTTTGTCATCTTCGGTGCAATGTTTTCCTCTCTGCCCCCTGATCTTGATGCAACAGCATCTCAGCTTCTAAAGGTTATTGCCTTGGCAACTTGGAGTTTTAGAGCAGGAAAGCCCTGTTGGCTTTTTCTCGGGATCAGTCTGAATAACTTGACCAGGGAGGCTGCTGGCTCTCTGGCTCTGCTGTACTGGCGGCCTGCGGGGAAAGGTTGGAGTCAGAGCTGCGCTTGGCCTCTCCCTGTGCATTTTGAGTGATAGACTCTCCATCCAGCTTAAGTCAGGGAATTCTGTGCAGGACCTTCCATCGGCCAAGCAGATGCGCCAGGCTTGCTCCTTGACGGGGCCACAGGAAGAATCTCACTGGGTGATACTAAGGAGGGTGGCAGGGGCACGGCAGGAGCTGCCAGAGTTAGGGGCCTGGCCCAGAGAGACACCGGGCCAGGGAGAGGAAAGTGGTCAGAGAAGAAATGCTATCTTCTTCATTTCTCCCCAGGACGAGGCCTACAGAAGGCAGTGGACCAGGAGCCTTGGTATTTAACCTGAGTGATTCTGTACTTACAAGCATTAGGGTGTGTGTATGTGGTATAAAAGAAAGATGAGCAGTGGCTTATGGTTTCAGGCCTCTCTTATTCATGATCACAGGCTCCTCCAGGCGGTTTGGAGAGGTCAGCGCTCCCTCCCTCCTCCCTCCCTCTCATTCTTCACTGAAGCTGGGAGTCCACCTCCCAGAGGTGTTCTGTCTGGGCCCACACGCATTTCCCACAAGACTCACCGTCACACTTCAGCCCTTGCCTGGCCAGGCCCCACAGCAGGGTTCCACAGTGCTCACAGAACGTTGGGCTTTTGTAATTGTAAACTTTAAATCTATGTGGCATGTCAATTTTGAACCTCTCCTTGTGGAACTGAAAGAAGAGAGATCGCATGACAGTAGGTGACCCTGGGTTCCCAGCTTTATATATCTTAGCAGATACTTTAGCACAACTAGCAGAATAATAAAGAGCATAGGAACGATGTACATTTTAAACCACAATTTTTACTTGTCAAGTTTTATAGTCATGTTCAAACTACTCAGCCAGCCGTTAGCTGTTTCAGGGTGAGGGGCAAGCACGCGATATACCCCTATCAAGTAACCCGCAGACAGCTGCAGTCTGAGGTATTCCGCAGTTGGGCTAACATTTCAGGAAGAGGGGACTCAGGTTATTTATTTAGATAGGAGCTAAGTAAACTTTGCACTTCCCTTCCTACTTTAATATAAATATTTCCTTTTCTCTTTCAACCCAGAAGCAGCGCTTTCACCTTTGGAAGATGTTATATATAATGACCCCTCTAGAGGCAGCGCTGCCATTGGCTTATTGGTATGAGAGCCTGAAGTGTGAAGCACTTCACACCTTTTATTCATAAACAGAGGAGGCCAGAGGCAGCTGATGGTTCCGCTAAGTGCTGTGGACACATATCGCATGTGCATTGTCTTTTACAGGTGATATCTCATGTCATCCTCAAAATATCCCATTTGAAGTAGCCTCTGTTAGTATTCTCACTTAACAGATGAGGTGATGAAGCACAGAGAGGGTAAGACACTTGTCTAGGTCACACAGCCAAGTGAGCTGGGATAGCTATAGCCTGGCCATCAATTTGAGAGCCTGTCCTCTTTCACTATTACTCTTCTCTCTTTCAAAACAAACATGATTTAGGGAACGGGGAGAGGGGAGATGAGAAAGGGATGCTGGTGGTAAAGATATTGCAGATTCCCTCCCCCCGCCCCCCCCCCGTTTTCCAGAGTTTCAATCTTCTTCTTTAATCAAACATCCATGAACAACAACAACAACAACAATAACAACAAAAAATCAGGCAGTTTGAATTCTGGCAAGAATACCAATATTCTTGTACAGTATGAAAAGTTTTATGTACTTAAGACTTATAATCTCTGCCTCAGTTTTTAATTAAACAGTTCATTTGGAAACATGCACAGCAACGAAGCCTTATTTATTAAAGCGATGTAGCTAATGTTCCTGTTTTGGCTGCTGGTCAGCACTGGGTCTTTATAATGGCTGTTTAGAATTGCTTAAAAGTTCCCCAGCACTTACTCTACTCATTTTCAATCAAGAAAAAAAAAAAAACAACAACAACTTTAAAAACTGACTTTGTATAAGCATTTTCATGTAACTATGAACAATTAACGTCAAGGTCCAGGCTAGAAGCTTCCACTTTAATTCATGAGCTGCCCAAATGGCTCAAGGTTCGTTGGGGAAAGATTGTAGATTTATATTTTGCAGCATGACAGTCACTTAGCCACAAGGGACAAGTGAATATTTGCAAGGTGGTGAAAAGATGTGCTATAAGAGTAAAATACTCTAATTTTTATACTGATTATACATTGAAATGATAATATTTGGGTTGATTGGGTTAAATAAAAATATAATGTTAAGAATAATCTCACCTGTTGCTTTTTACTTCATTTAATGTGGCTACTTGAAAATTTATTAAAATTATACTGTGGCTCTCATTCTATTTCTATTGTACATTAACCTTTGAGTTGAACAGCCATGCTTACAATCTGAGATTTTTCAGGAAAGCTGAGGTATCAAGTAACGGGAGCAGGAGGGTGGGTTGGGAGGTGGCAATTTGATTTAAGCAAACAAAAACATTGTCCTGGGAGATTGAGATCTAAATTTTAGCCCCAGCTTTGTCCCTTAAAGGTGATTGACTATAGACAAATTAATCTCTTAGAGGCTTAGCAGAGTCACTTTAATATGAGATTATTCCCCCCTCTAAATTTTAAAAGTAATTCTATTCTGGAAAACCTAAATCAATTTGCTTTCTCTGTTCCTGCCCCTTTGCTGGAGAAAATCACATACCTGGGCAGGATGACACCCTCAAATCCAAAGGGACTTTCAACTATGCTTGGCAATCCTACTGCTTTTCTCTAAACCATTACTTTTCTATCTCAAAATAATAATTTCACAGATATTTTTTTTTCCTCAAATCCAGTCATTGCCTTCCTTCTCTCAACCCTCAGACTTCTTCGAAGGTATAAATTGTCTAACAGAACTACTTGCCCTCAAATCTGCAAACCTAACTGTATCTGCAACCAACTTCTCCTCCTCTCCTACAATTGATGAAATGATCATTCATCCACCAGAGGCCCATCTCCACATGTGCTTTGGACCTCTTCCCCTCTTGCCAAGACTGACTGCTTTGGTCATCCCTCTCTCCAACTTCATTCATGTGTCATCAGCTACTAGCTATGGGAGTATTTATACCTCTTGTGTCTCATCTCCTTCTAGCTACTGCTCTACTTCAATGACCTCTTTTACAGTTAATCTTCACAATAACATTAATGTATAGGTTGTTTCCATGTTATCATCTTCCAGTGCTGGCCTCTATAAATCTTCTGAATTTCTCTGATCAAGGGCTCAAAAGATCTTCACATGGCCCTCACTTTTCTCATTATCTCAACTGCACTGAATTTAACCAACCCTTTTATACACTCTTAATATACAAAGAACCTTCTTTGAACCTTTGTTCTCATCTCTATCCCAAGCTACTTCTTTCTAGCTACAACTAATTTTAGATTCCTTTGGGGTCAGTATTGAGCTTATACTCCTTCCTCCTATCCTCTCTCACTAGGTCATCTCTTTGACAGCTTCAAATTCTATCCCAATGATAGTCATTTCCAAATTTATAGATTTATTCAATTGGCTCATATGAATTCTAAGCTTATAAAATTGCCTATTTGATAACTTCACTTGGGTGTCCTTAGGCATCTCAGATTATCTAAAATGGAAATATTAATTTTTCCCTCTAGATCTCTGCTTCCAGTCTTATTCACATTCTCATGATTCTGCTATCTACCCCACCGCTCAAGACAGAAAATCAGTTATCACCCATCTCTTTCATTCTCTACATCTTGTCCATTAGCATTAGAGTCATTTGGAATATTGAAATCACCCAAAAATCTGCTTATTTTGCTCCATTTCTACTGTTATCACACTTCTGTCCTGGTAGGACATCATGCTCCCAGATTTTTACTTTCATATCTCAATCCACTGTTTCCTCTATAGCAGTCATTGCAATGGACTTTGCAAAAACAAAGCAAAGGCTCAGTGGTTGAGCATCAATCTATAAACAAGGAGGACATGGTTTGATTTCCGGTCAGGGCACATGACTGGGTTGCAAGCTTGATCCCCAGTGTGGGGTGTGTAGGAAGCAGCCGATCAATGATTCTCTCTCACCATTGATGTTTCTATCTCTTTCTCTCCCTTCCCGTCCTCTCTGAAATCAATAGAAATATATTTTTTAAAAAAATCCAACCTCTTTTCCAGGATCTGAAGATCCCTGCCTGATTGAGGGATCAATTTTTGCCCTTATTCTAGTCACATGGTCTCATTTTAGTTTCTAGAACATGCTGATTCTTTCTGCTCATGGGGCCTTTCAGTCTGTCGGGGGCTCCTTCCCTCACTGTTCACACAGCTGCCTCCTTTCACCCACCCTTCAACTCTCAGGTTAAGCGCCCTCTCCCTTAGGAGAGTCCCTGGCCTCCAGTCTAAGTGGATCACTCAGTTATTTTTCATCATTACACCTTGTTGGCTATTTTCATAGTATCTAATATAAATGAAAAATATACATAGTCATTTGTTAATGATCTCTTTCTCCAGATTTATGGTAAAGTCCATAAAGGCAGGACTACATCTGTTTTGTGCTCTTGTACACTGTGCAGAGCAGTGTACCTTCCATGTATTAGACACCCAATAAATATTTGTCAAACAAAGAAGGAAAGGGTGGGAGAAGGAAGGCTGCTTGACTTTATAGCTTAGCTTCCCTTCCCTATGGAGTAAAATCTAACTTGTCCTCAAACTATATACCTCAAAGTTCATTCAGAAAGAAATATTTGCCTCTTAATATAAGAATTATACATCTATTATCACCTCTTGTAAATGCTTATATCTGTACTTATTTTCATTTGCCTCTGCTCTTTAACTGTCATTTCTAGCTATAGATACCATAGGAGTTATTCTCATATACCATAATTGTTCAAAACCATGCTTTCTGGCCACTTTCTATTATGTTTTTCTGGAAAAGGCAGAGCCACCAAAATTCTTATTGTGCTTTTTAAAATTCATACCCTAGTCTTGGATCTAGTAACAATTATTAAAGAGGGAAGGGTTTTAGGGAGATCACCAATCAGCTTAAGGATTCAAGTTCAGGCATTATTAAGAATAATTACTGGGCTGTAAAGTTTCATGTTAGGGTAAAGTCATCATATTTCAGACAAAGAGCAAAATCTAACTACATACCATGGTTTCTCGGCTATTGATAGCTGATCCTGTGCACTTGGCTATAACTTTATCAATACACTTCTTGTGAATTGCTGCATTACATTCTGAAAAGAAATGGTTGCAGCTTAACATTTTCAGAAGTTAAGGAACAACTACAAAAGAATGATGGTAATGCAATAGAAATCCTGCTTACTTACGTCGACACTGGTAGCCCTGTTTGTTCAGACCCCTGCAATAAAGCATAAGTATGATTTATATGGGTATTCAAACCAACAGCAGCACCTCAAACATCTGAAAGATGATGAGATCTCATTTCTTCCTATGATCACAGAGCATTTTCTCATTAGCAGCCCTGGTCTATTATTTGCTAACAGCATTAGCATGTGTTTTTTTCTCTTATTTTATTTTAAACTGCTTTGCTGAAAGTCTGATGATAAAATGAATTATGAGCTATTGATAGCCCTCTCATTTGTATATTTTCCAAGCAAACATGTAGAGGTTAAAATGCCTGTCTGAAAATGCACCACAGGCTCCTAGTTGCAAATTTTCATGTCTCACTAAGATAGATCAGCAAAGATAGATCTATGCTCAATATAGATCAGCAAAGACATCTGAAAATTTCATTTTATCTTTCTGAGTATCATTCCTGATTATCATTCACTAGGGAAAGGAGGGAGGTTCAGGTCATTAGATGAAAACACGTTGATAGAAATCCACCAAAAGTCTATTTGACCTTGGATACCCTGGTTAAGTTGGGGTTGTGCATGAAAAGATTCTGCAGTTGTCCAAAGAGAGGAACACCCCATTAAGAAGTGAGCAGTTTGAACCCAGAGATAGGAGTTGTTTTAAATCTCTATCATAGCCTTTACTATGTGGCTACTGAAGCTTGAGCCAATCTCTATTCAAGGGCTGTTAAAACACCAAAGGGCACTGTAAACATCTAAACACGTTAGCTCCAATGGGAAAGTTGTTGCCTTTTGTAGATAGTAGTGCTAGCACAGATGGGTTATCAAGGTGGGGTAAAGTGGTGGGAGTTCCAGCTGTGCTTACAATGCCCCACTCTTTCCCTCCCTTCTTACTCCAGAAGCCTCCCATTTAACCAGAAACTAAAGTACTTGGGAACTGGCTTTCTTGCTCTATAGGAGGAGCCAGATTATGAAATCTTTTCTAGAATCACACCCTTTAAACCTTCTCAATCCAGGTGAGGCCATTGAAAACTATCGTGTAGTATTTATTCTGGCATGCTCCCTTAAGGAGAGGTACCCTGTTTCCCTGAAAATAAGACAGTGTCTTATATTAATTTTTTTCTCCCAAAGTTGTGCTAGGTCTTATTTTCAGGGGATGTCTTATCTTTCCAGGCACTAGGTCTTATTTTCGGAGGATGTCTTATTTTCGGGGAAACACGGTATGTTGGGCCTGGAGGGTTAAGAGGATGTGACAAAATGTATAACCTAAAGCTAAGAGTGAAAGGTCAGGCCACCATACCAGACAAACTCATGGCAGACGGAGCAAAACGTGGGTTGTGGGAAAAAGGTGGCGGTGAACTCATGGCACTTGACATGATGGACTTTGGCCTGTTTGATGGCTCCTCGACGGTGATGCAAAGCAAAGAAGCCTTCAGTCTCGAATTCACTCATGTCCTTTGTGTCTGCAGAAGAGGATAGGGGATAAAGTGAAGTTCTCTGATACGGCTGACATAACTGGAGGGGAAGAATGGGGATATGGGGAAGGGACAGAGATGGACAAAGAATTAGACAAGTGTTGAGACCAATAAAATCCCCAGTACTTATTGAGATTGGTGCACTACTAAGCCTTTTTAAAAAATTGTTTAATACAGGTTTATCATAGGGTATATTATTACAGGATTTGAAACAGTGGGGTTGGATTATTGGCTTAATCCTTCACTATCCTTTGAGTGTGCTGAGTTATTAACATCTTTCAATTTTTAAAACCAGAGGTCAGAACTTTCAAGGTATTTAACAACCTTTCCTATTCATATGTCAATGATGAGTCAGCCAGAAAGATAGGAAGTGGTACTTTTCTGCCTGTAATTCTAGAGAATAATGTGGTTACTGATACCACTTGGAAATGGCTTTTTTTTTTTTTTAGGTCCTAAGATGCTTTACATCTGATTATAAGGTACAGTAGACAGGAAGGAGCTGGCCAGACTTGTGTGTAAGGGAAAACAAACTTGGGGAGTTATTTATATTGGGTTCCTGATATTTACAGTTATAAAACACACTAGCTAGAGACTACATTGGTCAATGTGGAAAGGCTGGGAATTAATGGCTAACTGTAGATGTGTGGTTTTTTTTTTTGTTGTTTGTTTTTTTTTTTTTTTTTTGTAATGTCTAGGTAGTCCTGGATGCAACCTAGTCATCCACATCAAATCATCACATTCACATTTCTTCAGCTCACCCTGGGCTCTGGATATTGATGAAGGTACTTTAGGAAGTCACCATCTACAATGGCCAATTTCCAGATGACATTTTCTCAAAAGTCTGGAAGAATTTTGAGAATACCAATAATGCCCAGCCTGAAGCCCAGGCCCAAAGAAAACACACAACAACATGATGAAAAGTATAGCATGTAAGAGAGAATAATGCAGTAAACAAGAAATAACAAAAATCATCATTACTAAAATAAAGATAATGAATTTAATGATTATAACTTTTAGAATCATAATTTGAAATAATTTAAAGATTCTTGGACTACATATTATAAATACAAAAAATGGAGGTTTATTGAGAGTAAGGGGCTCCTATTTTGTAAATATGAATAATTAACAATACTTAAACTAAATTACTTCCATTCTGACTAAGCAGTGGCAGAGGCTTTACAATATAATTGGGGCAAATGTCCCTACTAAGATACTGATAGTGGCCAGCTAGAAACACATTTGAATAGACAAAGGAGGTGCTGTGTAGATGGAGCCCTCTCCTCCAGGAATCCACCAAGTACCAGAATGCATTTTAGTTTAAAGTCTTCTCCACAGTGTTTACTAGTACAGATTTGTTTTATGGCAACTCCAGACTCCTAGATAAAAAGCATCTTCAATGACCATGTAAAGAGTTCCACAGTTGGAGGCAAAGGTTAGGCCTTTGAGGGCCTTGTGTTTGGAACTGAGCTGGAAATAAATTAGGCTTGAGTCAGAGGAAGATAAATATCACATGATCACACTCATTTGTGGAATATAATGAGCAACATAAACTGATGAACAAAAATAGAACCAGAGTCATAGGAGCATCAAACAGACTATCCAACCTATGAGGGAAAGGGTGGAGATGAAGGGGTAAGAGATCAACCAAAGGACTTGTATGCATACATATGAGCATAATCAATGGACACAGACAGTATGGGTGATGGTGGTAAGGGCATGTGCTGGAGATGGGGGTGGCTGGGGAGAGGTCAATGGGGGAAAAAGGAGACTCATGTAATACTTTAAACAATAAAGAATTTAAATTAAAAAATAAATTAGGCTTGGAGAATGAGAGTTTAAATTCAGGGTCATGTGATTGTTTTCTTCCACAAGCTTTGGTATAGGTGTGGAGATCTATTTACAACTCAAGACTGGGTAGTAGGATATGTGTCAGTAAGATATGACTCATTGTTATTTTGGTCCAGATGAAATGATATGAAGTAAAATAAAGTGTAAAATTACTTTTAAATTCATGGGATGAAATGAATTATTTTGGAAATTCTAACCATATGTGTGAGTGTGTGTGTGTGTGTGTGTGTGTGTGTGTGTGTGTATCTATCTTAGAGGCTTGGTGCACAAATATATATATATTAGTGAGGGTGCAGGCTGGGCTGAGGGACATCCCCCCCCCCCCCACCCCCGCACCAATTTCATGAACCAGACCTCTAGTTTTATTTTTAAATATATTTTATTGATTTTCTTACAGAGAGGAAGGGAGAGAGATAGAGAGCTAGAAACATCGATGAGAGAGAAACATCGACCAGCTGCCTCTTGCACACCCCTATCGGGGATGTGCCCGCAACCAATGTACATGCCTCTGGGCCCGAATCGAACCTGGGACCTTTCAGTCCACAGACTGACGCTCTACCGCTGAGCCAAACCGGTTTCGGCAGACCTCTAGTTTTATTATAAATATTTGAGTATGTATTTTAAAGATAAGGAGCCTTTAAAATATAACTATAATATCATCATACCTAAAAAATGAACAACAGTGTCTCAATATCATCAAATATCTGCTGAGTGTTCTATTTTACATGGTTATCTCATAATATTTTTTTTGAATCTGGACCCAAAGGAATTGCACATGTGAAGTAAAACCCCCACAAAGTATTACAATTCTGTAAACTAAAACTTGTTTCTTGGTAGTAAAACTAATTTAGAAAATAATTAAGTCAGTTTATTATCAGTAAGTTCACATATACATTCTGAGGTTTAGGATTTTATGAGTCTAGCATTTAATTAGTTTAAGTAGCACTTTGACCACAGAATATAAATGTAACAGAAGGAACTGAAAAGCTGTCACAGGCACCAACCACACATTTGTAAATGTAACTTCCGTGATCAATGTTTGTGTGCTACATGGAACTGAAACTCTTTAGCAATGCATTTTCCTTTCTTGTTCCTAAAAGGATTTGAGGTGACTAACTTAAAGTCATTAAAGTTATTTATTGGTCTCATATTTATTTTGTATTCTACTGATAATGCAACAGCTTGTTATATCATTTACACAAAGACGGTATCATGACACATAAACAGCCTTTTGAATTTACATTAAATTCCCAAACTAAAATAAAGACAGACTAAAAGCACTGGACATATGTGTCCACACAATTAAAAAACTAATGCTGAAAAAGTTTTGTATTTTTATGATTCTCTAACCCAGATAGTGTTTTCAGTTAGTATCTGAGCACCACTGGGAATTTTAAGAACATTCCTTGGGCTTCCCTTTTGTCCTGACATGCCCTCCTCACTCAACAGGAAGAAGAAATGTTACTTGCCACTCATTTCCAAGAAGTATCTTGCATTCATTAGCATTCGGCCTTGAGGTTTCAGCTCTAACTGGTTGAGAGAAGGAAAGGAATATCAGTCAAAATGTGAAACAAGTGCTGAGGATAATGATATCATAACTGGAGAGTTTGGTGATGGCAGAATCTAATCATTACTCCCTTTCATTTTACCCATGCACATTATATAATAAAGCATAGCATCTGTTCATATACTCTTTCTTTTATTAAGACACCTCAGCAACTCATTAGTTTTATTTGGAGATCAAAACTTCCATAAGGAAGAAACAAAATTCCCAAGCAGATTCTATTTGATTTTCTTGTCCTGCACTGCTGCTTATCTGAAGAGCTGTAAGGGGTGATTCAGATCTTAAACATGACAAAAGAATCACAGACCCTGGGACTAGCTCACATGGGGATTGATTAGGTCTTTGGGAAGAAAGATAAATCCTTTACTTCAGGTGCCTCCACATTGGCACAAGGCTAATCAGGATAGGAGATGGGAGTGGCCTTTTGTTCCACAAGGAAAGACTTTTTCCTTGAGAAAGTGCTGGGTAATCTAAAGGAAATTTTGATTCAATTGGTCTGAGAAGAGATAAAATAACATAGTTCAGTACCATTACTAGGTGTACCGCTTAATAATGAGGATTTTTTTTCCACAATAGATGGAGTTACACATATGTTGATATATACATATGCAATTTGATATGTATGCTGTTTTGTTGTATTGCTCCTTCAGAATACCACTTGTTCAGATAGATGACACACACTTTCTGAGCAGCATTTCAAAATGTGAAAGAAGTGGAAAATTGGGTCTCTGGATGGTCTGCCTCAAAACAGGAAAAGTTCTATTGGAACGGTACCCACAAATTATCTGAAAGATGGGGAAATGTGTAGCTAGTGATGGACATTACTTTGAATAAAGTACTTTTGATGTTTCTCTTGACATTACCGTGTTTTCTTTGATTACAAAATTCGTATTAACTGGTTAATATTGTGGGTTAAATATTAACCGGTTAAAAATGTGGATCAACTATTCATGGGTTAATAATATAGATTAACTATTAACTAGTTAATAATATGGGTTAATTACTAACTGGTTAATAATGCATCTTTTGTAATCCAAAGAAAACACAATAATTTCAAGAGAAATATCAAAAGTGCTTTATTCAAAGTAATGTCCATCGCTAGCTACACATTTCCCCCATTTTCAGGTAATTTGTGGATACAGTCCCAATAGAATTTTTTTGTTTTGAGGCAGACCATTCAGAGACCCAATTTTCCACTTCTTTGTTTTGAAGTGCTGCTCAGAATGTGTGTGTGCCATCGATCGGAACAAGTGGTATTCTGAAGATGCAAGGTCTGGTGAATATGGCAGGTGGGTTAATACTTCCTAGGCAATATCTTGATTTTGTGTATTTGGGATTCTCAAAATATATCCACTTTTCATTGCCAGTCACAATTCAATGCAAAAAAGACTTGCTTTTGTGCCATTGAATCAACATTTTATTGATGACTTTTCGGTTTTCCATTTGTCTTTTGTTTAGTTGATGTGGCACCCATTTTCCTTCCTTTAAAATTCTTCCTATTGCTTGTAAATAATCAGAAATTGTTTGCTGAGCAATATTTAATCTTTATGTAAGTTGTTTTTGAGTGTGATACGCATCTTCATGCAATGATGCTTGTAATTTTTTTGGTCTTCAAACTTCTCTGATTTGTCTTTGTCTTTCACATCAAAATCATCACTTTTAAAGCATTTAAATCAGCATTCACAAGTATTTTGAGATGGAGCATGTTCACCATAAGCTTCCTGAAGTATATGATAACCTTCAGCCGCACTTTTCTTCAAAATAAACTAATGAATTAAAACTTCCCACAAATGCTCTCTTTTTGGCATATATTTGAAAATTTTAAGCATAAAAATATCTAGGATGTTAACACCTTCAGAAAATGTGACATATGAAGTCCTGAAGCTTATTCTATAACTAGAATAACTGAGAATAGTTAAGAAAGGACTGGTTGAACCCACGATTGAATTTGAATTATAGCTAAAAAATAGCACACATGTCAAATTGCATATATATCAACATATGTTTAACTCCATCTATTGAAAAATATCCTGATTATTAAGTGGTACACCTAGTAATGGTTCTGAAATATGTCATTTTATCTCTTCTCAGATCTAGTATGTAGAAGGAATTAGAACAAAATGTCATTTTAAGAAGTGATGCAGTAATGTGACATTATGGGGAAAACGTCAAAGCCACCATAACCTGGCCACTATTGCTAATACACTAAACCATAACTCTATATTGTTAATATATCAAAAAAATATGAAGAATAATTACATTTATAAGTTAACTAGAATAACAGAATAGTTAAGAAAGGACTGGTTGAACCCAGGATTGAATTTTAATTGTAGCTAAATAATTTACTGGCTGTGTGACCTTGTGCAAGTCACTAATCCTTCAAAGATCTCTGAAAAGCCAATATAGTGATACTTCTGGAACAACATCACTATTATTAGAATTTTATGATAAAATAAGTCTGTACTGTTTGGTCAACTTTAAATTCTCTTGCAAGCTTAAATAGGTTAATGAAAAGAGAAGTGCTTTTGTCATCAAGAATATACACTGCTGTTCTCTGATTTGTGGAATATATAATAAAGGTGGACACAACAGTGGAACTAGAGGAGCAGGAGACAATGAAGTGGGGGAGATTGGTAACCATAGTTATCAATAGGCAGGACTTAGTGGTGATGCGGGAAGTTAAACCTCTTAGCTGCTGGCAAAACAGTATCCGCAAAAAGTCATAATTCATCATGTTTCTGAGAGTGAATAGTAGGTATATACAAATGCTAAAAAACTTGGGAAAGCAGGAGGCAAGTTCTGTGGGGTGTTTAGAAATTGGATAACGGTGTTTGCGTAACTGAAAGGCGAGAAAATATTTTTCTAAAAATAGAGAAGTTAATTTTAAGTAGAACCTTAGAAAAATGTAAGTCCAAAACAAAGTTCCAAACAACCTGTTGGCCCTTAAACACTATAAATAAAAGTCAATAAAAAATAGCTTTTTTAAAGAAGCTGGAAAATGTAAAAAGGTTGTTAATTAAGTGAGGATCTGAAAGTCCCCAAGGGTTAGGTCTAAATAATAACAGATTGCAGAAACAAACAAACAAACAAAAACGTCTGATAAGAATAAAATCAGAAAAAGCTGAGGCAAGAAATGAAAGGCAACTTTGAGATATATAAATAGAAAAGCAACCTGTTTATCAGTGAAGCTTGACAAAAGATGAAAAAAGTAGTCATTCTTTCATTATTTGTGAAGGAAATGAAATAGCATGTTACTTTTAAAAATTAGGAATTTGGTGATTTTTTTTTTTTTTAATGAGGTAGAAAGCAGAAAGTAAATGGGAAATGATGAAAACTGGGGGAGACTTTCTCTTGTTAATTTCTGCTTTCTCCTACCCTTGCCTAATGCTCGCCTGCTTCAGGCCCAGCTACAGTCTCTCCCCTCACTTACCTGGTTTATGTAAATCTTTTAAGACACATCTGTTACATTATTTTACTATAATACTTGCCTAACTAGCTACCTAAGAGGAGTTCTGTTTTCATGAGTCTTCCCCCCAGTGCTCAACAGATACTGCTGAACTAAATTATCTGAGCACATCTAAGCATAGGAGCCATTTAAAAAAATAAAAATCTTGGCATATTCTTATCTTTAAAGATGACTTTAGTGACACTAGTAAAATATTTATATAAAAATACATTTCCCTAATAAGTACTGAATTATTTTGAGATAAAAAATATAAAACACACAAAAATCTAGTTTTTAGGCTTATATCATTCTTTTTCTTATTTTGAATCCTGTGACTTGAAAATCTTTTGGGTGGAATTATTAAACATCTGAGTTTTAGGAAGTAAGAAGCAGAAAGGTAAGATTCTGTCTGTGTAAATGATATAAACATTTGATAATATTTTCTGGGTTCCATCTTATTTAAAAGAATTTTTCACTGGTACTCTGTTTCCCCGAAAATAAGACAGTGTCTTATATTAATTTTTGCTCCCAAAGATGCGCTAGGTCTTATTTTCAGGGGATGTCTTATTTTTCCATGAAGAAGAATATGGTACACATTTATTGTTAAATGAAAATAAAGGAAATTTATTACCTGTATACGGTACAGTAGTATGGTAGTTGTCAACACAAACCAGACAAATTGTGAATCCTACAGTATCAAGAATTTACTCATTTATTCAATGACAATCATGTCATCATCTTCTGGAACATCATCATAACAATCCAATTCCTGAATTTCCTGGTGAATTTCTTGTGACTCCATTTCTTTCAGAATCAGTGGACCAAATCTCTCATGTTTAGCCTAGGGGGACCTTATTTTCGGGGGATGCCTTATATTTCACTCAGAAGGAAACCTATAAGTAAGTCTTATTTTCGGAGGATGTCTTATTTTCGGGGAAACACGGTATAAAAATACTTCCATTTTATGGGCCCCAGCAATTTTCACTGGGAATTTTTTATCTTTTCATATTTTACTAATGGCCCAATGCATAAAATTTGGGTAAGGAACTTGGTCCTTGCAGCCCCAGCTTTGTCCGTAGGTTGTCTGGATTTGTCGTTCTGCTGTTTGGACTAATTAGCATATTAGCTCTTTATTATATAGGATTCTTCCCTTGAACATTTCTAAACATTTGTTAACAAAACACTTAAAAAAGTTTTCAAAAATCTGATGTGGCAACATGGATTGTGTATGATGTAATTTTTAGTACAAAGTGAGTACATTATAGCTAAACAATTTATCGGGATTGGCAAAGTATGGAGAAGACACAACATTAAATAAATCTTCTCTCAATACTCTCACTTATCTATCATCTTATCTGTAAGATATTTATGTGTTATCTTGATATACAACAGTTGTGCTCCCAAGTTAGGGGGCATTTGTGATATTTCTGAGCTTACTTTTAGTTATAAATCAATTACAGTTGTTCATAGCCTAAGAGGCATTCTTCACCTTGCACAGGGATCAAAAAGATTTGAATATGACAATATGTCCACAAGTAATGATCATTGTCATTATCAAGTCACCAATGACTAAGTGGTAGGGAGTCTATTTACACAAGGCTACTGTGTCATAATTTTAGGATGACATTGAAATTTTGAGCTAGTCTTTAGCTAATATGGTACTTACCACTTAATAGTATATACAGTTTAAAAAAAGGCTCACAGCTCAGATATTTACCCATATTTCTGTCCTCCCGTTGTTCTTCCTGCATCTCTCAGCCAGAGAGTAGAGCTCAACAGTAGTTTCAGATATTAGGTCCACATTTTTGCCTTTCACAATGATCTGCATTACTCTTCCTTTGTTGATATGGGCATCAAAAGTGCTGTCCCAGGGCGGGTACATGGTTGGCTTTTTCTGGATGTACATCTGCCCATTCTCTAGGATCAGAAAGAGATGGTCTCATTACTCCTTTAGCCCACTCGGGGGAAAAAATCAATTCAACTCATCAGTGGCACTCATTCCATCTGCTCTCTAGGATACGTAATCCTGCTGGGAAGACAAAAATGACACGTAAAACAATTAGAGGCAATGTAGGACAGAAGGAGACATTTCCAAGTTTAGCAAGCAAAGTAATGTAATGAAACATAAAGTCAACCTGGATAATCCAGGCAACAAAAATCTGACAATGCCTTGGAGTGGCACTGTTCTTTTTCTATCCAACAGCTTCACTTTGAATGCGAATATCTAAGAAAATAAAAAAGAATTAAAGGGCTAAGGTTAGTATATTTGGTAGGGCAGAGTGACTTAAACTCCATTCTTTATGGTAAAGGCAAAACCTGTAAAATACATGAGCCATTATTGCCTTCTCTAATTTTCAAATGCGGATACCTTTTACCTGAACAAGCCACCATGCACCATAAGCAAAAACTGACAAGTATCTCGGAGAGGTGGTGGGCTTCTCCATGGAGTGAGTCAGTGGAGGCCATAGAGCTGCAGTGAGGAAGAGCAGTCCGGGGAATGGTTCTAACAAGAACCATGGTCAGGATGGTGAAGTTTAAGGGAAACCTCCCCAAAGCCACCAGGCGATTGGGAGAGTTCACTACTGGGAGTATAAATAGTGTTCTCCCATCTTTCATCCAGATGTAAGTAGATGTTCTTTAATCATTCCAGAAGCAGAAAAATACAGTGGTATTTGACTGTTTGATTCTTGTGATAATAAGCACAGTACCTGGCAGATTTAGCAATTTAGAGGTATTGATTAAACCAAAGGTAAAGTCCATTTAAAGCAGGGAAACAAAGCAGTTCTGACTCCCGATGGCCCTTTCTCTCCAATGCACACTGTTAGAACGGAACAGGCTAAATTATTCTTTGGGAGGTATACAAGGATGTGAATAAACCGAAACTTCTCTTTTTAGGCAAACCTAGTTATTAGAGGTATGAACTCTGATGATAAGGGGAGAATAGGAAGGGGAAGATTTCTATTGCTTGTTTAAAAGAAATTTAACTAGTGGAGTGACATTGATCAGTATGTTACTGGAATGAACCATGGGCAAGGAAAAAGATTTAGTAAAGTGGAAGGTACTGTTTGAGGAAGCCTCTGAATTATTTATTAACTGAGGCCAAGAAGAAGGAATAGTTTGTCACACTTAGTGAAGTTTCTACCCTGACACCCCCTTGTCTTTCAGAGAGAATATGGAGAGTTAAAGGAGTGGTGTGGTGAATATTGCTGCTCCCTCCGGTTCTGGTGCTGACAAAGCTGGGATTGAGGCCTGGCTATAGTCCTCGTGTATATGTGCCTTCTGCTCTTTCCTCACTGATTTTTATCACACCTTGCTTTAAGGTTTGCTTATAAGTGAGAGAAAAATCATGTGAGGAATTTTGAAAATATTTTTTAAAAATATTAAATCTGAGTAATAATCTTGAGGGAAAAAAAAAATTGAATTGGACTTAAAAACAAACAATGGCAAGAATAACAATCATAGTAACATTTTACTTCCATGGACTTTAAACACCCTCCTTCTCATAATTCTTTTTAACCAAAACCTTTCTCCATCTGACAAAGGACAGATGTTCCCAGGGGGAGGCATTTTTCATACTCTCCATATTCCCTCTGAAAGACAAGGGGGTGTCAGAGTGCTGGTAGAAACTTCACCATGTTTGTAATCATCTAAAAAAGAGGACCCAGCACTCAGCATCTATCTAGTTACAGTGAGTTTCATCATTGTTTCAAAGGCTCCCAGACCCTCAGCATTGTGTTCTGTTCGTCTCTGTTCTGTGGATTCACCTGGAAAAAGGCAGTTGCACATCCACAAGGTTGAAGTGTGTTTAAATGCTGTAAAAGTAATACTTGAATGATAATGTTCAGAGAGATTTCTTTTCTGAACAAAACCAAAGCAAAATAAAAAAACAACAACAAACCACAGGCTAACCTTTGGAAAAACAAAGTTGTCTTCTTTTTTGACAAGGTCTTGATCCACATGGCTGGTTAGACCAAGTTCAAAGGCAAGGCCAAAAGGAGAAGACAAAAAAAAAAAAAAGCTCCCAGGAAGCAAATGTCAGGGAGACCTGTGGTTGTAAAGAGAACTGGGATGCAGGAGACCCATTAAGTCCAAAGCAGCTTTGAAGAACTCAAGACATTTCACACTTCAAAGATTTCCGTGACATTTGAAAGGTTTTAGATTGGGAGCAAGTGCCATTCTCACTTCAAACTAAGCAGGAGAGAAATCTGGTCAGAGGGGAAATCAGGATGATTCGAATGGTCCCCTCAGCTTTGACATACTCACTGTGGCAGGAGGGATGAAGTCAACTGGGAACCCAAGTCTTTTAAAGGAGAGAAAAGGCAAGAGAGGAGGACTGGGAATCCTAGAATGCTGAGCCAGCAACATCGAGCTGGAGGTTCTCACCTGCAGCAGAATCAGGTTCCATTTTGTGTCCATAAATGTTACCACCCCTTAGAGGTGTTTGTAGGACTACCCGGAATAAAATGACATTTCTCTGTCCCCAAACCTTCTCACTCCCTGTTCGCTGATCTATTCTTTTTCCTTCTTCACTCCACATGACTTACCATATAATATTTTTGTTTCCTACCTATCTTCCTCTGTAAGAATAGAAGCTCTACAACAAAGTCACCTTTTCTATCCAGTGCACAGGAGGCACCCCATAAATACTTCTCATGAAAATGAACTGTAATGGCTCCGATGGTCACTGCAGACCTGCGTGGGGTAATCTTACTTCTCTACAAAGTGTCTGCTGAAATAAGAAGTGTGTGGAGGGAAACAAGGAAGGTAATGGGGCTGGGAAAACCTTGGGATGTAAACTTCCTTTATCCTTTCCTTTAGAAAGTCCATAAGACTGAGGGTCCTCAGAGGGAAGGGATAAAAGAAAGGAAAGAGATCAACCAAAAAAACTTATATGCATATATATGCGTTACCCATGGACACAGAAAATAGTGGGGTGAAGGCCTGGGGAGGGGAAAGGAGTGGGGAGGAGGGGGGTCAATGAGGAAAAAAAGAGGAACATCTGTAATACTTTCAACAATAAAGACAAATTAAAAAAAGAAAGCCTGTCACGCTTCCTCCCTCACCATGAACTGCCGACCTACATTTGAATTTGACATGATGTGGACTATTATTTTACTGATCCAGGGTCTTAATGCAAAAGTAAATTTTCTGAAATTTGGTTTCTAATAGCTAATTCACATGTTCTTTATAGTATTCATCAACTATGTTCAAAGAAACAAAAAGCTGTCTTTAGTAGCCAATTCTAAGATTATGTAGACTTAACCTACAGTCATTGAAAACAATGAGTTTTAACAATATAGGTCCCGTGTTCCACATTAGAGCACTAAATTTCCTCTGACCACCACAGTCCCATTAACTCCTCACCTAAAGTCCTCAAACACATTTCTCCTTTCCTCTGCTCCCTTTGTTTATGTGGGAAAATAGTCCAGTGAAATAGAACACAGGCAGGTGACCTGGGTCTAGTTCAGAGATGATCACTAAGCCCTTTACCCTTGAGGAAGTACTAGGTTTCTCTGGGCATCAGTTTCCTGGAATGGAAAATTAGTTTGAGCCAGATGACCTTGAGGACTTGGAAAGGCCTTGCTTCATAGTTCATAGCAGGATCTTCCTCCCCCCCCCTCTTGGAAGACCCACTCAAGCTTACCTGATTCAACATATTCCTTGACAAGCACAGCGCAGTAAGGGTTAATGGCCTCTCCTTGACAAGGCTGGCAGGACCCGCAGTCAAAGTTGGACAAACCAATTCGAAGAAATGGTGACATAGTGGCTCCTGTAAAGTGACAAAAGACAAATGCTATTTGAGAGGCTGTAAAATGTATTATTTTTGGTGACCCCTAGCCACCTAACCAGTGCTTTATTGCCAATAGCCACAGCTTCAAATGGTTTCACTCTCCATTTGAACAAATGCTTTTACTCCCCCTTCTGCAAAATACATTATTGGGCTCATCCCAAACCACAGACTGACTTGCCAGGGAAGGAGGCTCTCTGGAAGTCTGTGTTACTCAATCTGGTCAGTTGGAATTGTAATCCACTTTTCATTTAATGCAGTTATGTCTGATTTAATGCAGACAGAGGCAAACGTTTCCCAACATTTTATTTATTCTGTTATTCAGGTAGGTAGTCAGCAAACAATTAACAATAATAGTAAAACGAGTTTATAAAGAGTGAGTCTATTTTAGTCACACCAGTTAAATATGACACCACAAAATTCTTACATGGGCTATTTGTGTGTGTGGTAGAACTGACTCTAGGTATTTAGCAGCTGAGCCCTATGTACTTTAGACATTTCAAAAAGGTTGCTCTGTTCTTGCCATATATATGTGTGAGTATGTAAATATGCATACATATAAAATAAGCTTTTGAACATCATGAAAGACTTAAAAGAAACCCTAAATCATTGATTGCCATAAAACAGTGCTTTACTGTTCAAGGATAAACAAAGAACTTCACGAAAGCCAATTAACTCATAATTATGCTTGCCTAGAGATATAGATGGAAAATCATAGTCTTGGCTACACATTTTAGGATTCTAGTCTGAATCTTCACCTGCTGTTCCTTCCTTTCCTTGTTTACTCTGGCTGCCACTTATCTCAACTAAGCACTCTTTCCCCCCTGCTTTTTAACCTACTCTTCTATGAGGTCACATAACTTTGAAACTATTAACTGGTATTCAGTGAAAAAGTTACTTCTTTTGGCTTCTTGAACTGTCTCTGAATTTAATCAGTTTATAAAATAAGCCAAATTAACAAGAACAAAGTTAACCATTAAAGCCTTGGCTTTCTTTTCTACCTTATATAAAGGAAGTAAACTGCTCAGACAAATGGGAATCCAGATGTGAGAATCAATGACTTCGCTAGAAATGTTGTTTCCGGAATCCTGAATCAGGTAGAGTTGTAAAAGTTTACCAGGCCTGGGGAATGCCAGTTGTCTCTGGATCTTTTGGGTTTTCTGAACCTAGCGTGAGACAAATTAGGGGCTCATGACAACTGTGGTTAATTTCATGGATTTTTAAAAAGTCCCCATTTTTCTGCAGCGTTTAGCAGGTCTAACTAGAGGAGCTGCTGGTTACAGAACCATGATTTGTTGGGGTGTCTTTAGTCTCTGAAACACATGCCCTGTAGGTCAATTTGTTGAATTAGCAGCAGGATAACCCGAATTTGTCTTTAGGGGCCCCTTCACCCTTTGCTTTTAGAATTCTCAGGCAGTAGGCAGGCTGGTAACAGAAAGTTCTCTGGAGAAAACTTCTTTGAGACCCCTCCCTACCTCTCCTGAGCCACATAGGTCTTTTGGAGAAATCTGGGTATCTCCAGTAATCAGGAAAAATCACCAGGAACGATTCTCATTTGAGCACATTTGCCATGCGTGAACTCTTTGAAGATTTCTTTAATACAAGTAAAGGTAAGTCATTCTTTCTTGAGTCAGGAGGGATCACAGACTCATGAAGTGTGAGTTTCAAGCACTTTGACCTTTAGAGAGGGATGTGTCATTCTGCCATTTCCAGGCTGGGTTCACAATTAGGTGACAACAACTCAGCATGCCCCTGGGAAAATCTGTGTGGGAATAGACAGAAACCTCTAAGGTGACCAGGGTTTCTCTGTATGAAAAAGAGGAGCAGCAAAACCTCCTTGCCTCCCGCAGGGCTTCTGAGACAGCAGCTGACCTATTTCATTAGCAGTGCAGATTCATTTGCCATTTCACCAGATCCTCTTGCCTTGTCCACTCACCATGGAGCATTTGACAGTTTGCCTCTTGCATATACCTGTGTGAGAGCCACGCCACTGCCTCTCTTTCTAACGGGCTAGTCCCAGTGACAGGATCTGACGTTTTGACATCCAGAAAAGCGAATTGACATTTGTGTGTTTAACTTTACACATCTTTTAATAACGTCTCAAGCTCTGGGGTGCATTTTTTAAAGGCCAAAGGTAGCATTTTGTTCCTCAATTCCTCAGAAAAATTTCCCCTCCTCTAACAATAAAGTGGTCCGTATGGAATATGAAGAAAACACACAAAATTGAAACATCACCCCACATTTCCAGCAACGAAATCAAATCACTATTACTATTTTGATGTATTTTTCTCTAGTCTTTTAAAAAAATAAACAGGTTTTGCATTGTTTTGTTTTACATGCTGTGTTCATATGAATGCATGAAATTATATTTGGCTTTTTCATTTAATATTTTACCATAAAAACAGCCTATGTTACATTGTTTTTGACAGCATCCTTTTCATTCTTGCATGACGTTTCCTGAGAGACAGCACCTGGATGTGCTCTACTAAAGTCTTATAGTTTCACATTTAGACTCCTCCATACTAGAAATATGCTGTCATAGCATCCTTTTACAATTTAAAAAAATATATTTTATTGTTTTTTTTTTTTTTTTTTTTTTACAGAGCTTAAGGGAGAAAGATAGTTAGAAACATCGATGAGAGAGAATAACCGATCAGCTGTCTCCTGCACACCCCTTACTGGGGATGTGTCTGCAACCAAGGTACATGCCCTTGACCAGAATTGAACCTGGGAACCCTTCAGTCTGAAGGCTGACACGCTATCCACTGAGCCAAACCGTTTTGGCTCCTTTTATAATTTAAAAAAAAAAATTAGGAATATTGCATCAGACTAGATCACTAGAGTACTACAATATTACTAGATCCAATGATATTACTATTTGTAAGGTCTTATATATTTCAAGAAAATAATGAAACATAAAGCCAAGAATTTAGCAGGGGCAATATGGATGGAAATTACCACAGACAATTAGTTAGCGTCATCTATATGATGCTAATGGACCGGCCAGTAGGTATAATGAGCACTGACCACTAGGGAGCAGATGCTCAATGCAGAAGCTGCCGAGTAACAGCAACTTTGCAGAGTGCCTTTTGCACTTCAGGACCCATCAAGGGATGTCAGACTGCTGGTTTAGGCCTGATCCCTGCAGGCCAGGCTAAGGGACCTTCTCTGCTGGAGGGAGCCCACTCACTCTGACACCCTCCGAACAGTGGCATTGCATAGGTGCAGCCAGCTGATGAGGGACCAGGGGAGGTTTGCTCCAGGGCGTGTCTGGCCCATCTTGCCCAGTCTCACCTGCCGGCCACCTTCTAATTAATTTCCTTTTAATGTGTACAAATCTGTGCACTGGGCTTCTAGTTCTTATGTAATAAGCACAGCAAGTTTGTATAAATGCTACCTATGACCTGAATGAGTAAGTGGCAATGACACAAACTATAAAAAATACAGAAAACATAGCTGCAACTAGTTGCATGAATAAGTGTTTAGTCTTGTCAGCAATTCAAGAAATGCTAAATAAAACAAGATATTATATTGTATAATTGCATTAATATACTATTTTTAGTAAGACAAAGCAATATGGAGAAAAAATATCAGTGGTTACCAGTGGTTGGGGAAAGGGGCAAGGTATAGCTTTATAGGGATTGATGAGCAAGTTTTGGGGGAAGATAGAATTATTCTACAGCCTGACTATGATAGAGCTCACAGAAATCTAAACTTAAATTCACAGAATTATGTACCAAAACCAAAATTCAGTTTTGCCATATGATAATTTAAAAATCTAATTTAAATATGCTTTTGGCATTTTAAGGCATGGATAATAAGTCCAGAGAGTATATAGATAAAATGCAAAAATATTCATTTGGAAACTGCGAATTCATATAATAAAATATTGATTTAAAACCCTAAAGTAATTAAGAGTAGCCTCCTCAGTTTACTAGATAGAAATGAAGTCTTAAAGATAAACAAAACAACTTTTACTGTGCAGTATTTAAGCTTTTTTGAAATTTTGCATTTTGGTTCAAATGGTTGAGAAAAAAGTAATATTAGAATTTGATAATACATTTTCTTTAAAGAGCTATAAATATTCAATGCTTACAGATCCTGTAATAATTTAAAAAAAAGTTAAAATATTTAAATATAAAAAAACAATAATTTTCTACCCTTGCGATTAGCAAATATTTTGGAAATGTTCTTACCTCACAATGGCAAGGACAACATGTATCATATACTTTTATAGAATGAGGTTTGCAGTGTAAATTTCCACCATTCTCTTGAGCACACACATGCATACACACATCTATGTATGTGTGTATATGTATATGTATATCTGAATAGCCCAGAAAATCTGTAATAAGTACAACAAGAATAATTAACATGAAAGCTTTTGTGGGCTGGCTTTTTGTGCTCAGAGCTGATGGTGAGAAAGGGGATTTCCAGAGGTGTTAAAATAGAAAGGAGAATTATTTGTGTGCAAAAATACATGCAGGATCTATTAGGTGTCCTCCCCCTGTTTCTCTGTGAGTGTAAATTTCATAAATCTCCTCTTTACTTTCCATTGATAACAAACAGCACGTGTGTGAGTACAGTGCTCTACTTATACAACAAACTGCAGTTCTGGCCAGGCTGTACCAGAGCCCAAGGGCCAGTTCCATCTACAGACCTCTCCTCTGAGCAATCAAACCACACACTCAGTTCTCTCCAGGACAGCTCCTGGGAATCCTCCCATCCGAACTCATTGTCCCGCCTTTCACATCTGCCCTTTACTATGGTGCCAAAACTTTCAGCTTAGCACTCTGCTCTGATGTCACCTTTCTCCTTATGTACCACAAGCAAATTGCTTTTTTCCTTTCCTACCTCCACCACCCATTTCACTGTTGCCTGAGCTCCATTCTGTACCCTCTCTTGTTTGACTCATCACAGCAGTTTATCTTGAGTCTCTCTCTATAGTCCTGGCAATCTCTCATTCCCAGACAGGTCTGCAG